CGTGATGCACGGTACCTCTGGCTCTGTCTCTGTCCAGCATCTCACCCAGCTCAATGACGTCACCAGTTGCCAGGAGCTATGCAACTGGAGATTAACAGAGACTACAGGCATGCTATAGTGATGGTCAATTTAATTGATGTAGAGGACCTCAAGTGTGTACTCTGACACCATCAAAGGTGCTGTGCATAATATTCAGTAAATGTAATGCTACTGAAAGCTGTCAGAGACGGGAGACATGCAACAGGAGATGATCAGAGACTATGGCCATGCTATAGAGGTAGTCAACTTACTTGATGTAGGGGGCCTCAAGTGCAAACCCTGACATCATGAAAGGGCCACACAAAATACAGTAAACGCCCAGTTATCCTGCACCCATGGGGATCGGTTGGTGCCGGATAACTGTAGTTTCTGATTTGCCTCCCCCTCCCTCCCATGGCCCCATTTACCTGCCAGCTAGCTTCCGCAGCCGACAGGTAAATGTCAGCACCAGAGCAATAGCCAGACTGCTATTGGCTACTTCAAATTGCAATAGCCAATAGCAGGCTGGCTATTGAAGCCCCGCCCACTACGCCACGGAGTGGCCCTGAGAGACAAAGTTCTCTTTCAGGTTCACTCCTCCATTCAGTGGAGCGGGTGCAAAAAACAGCCTGTTATTGGCTATTGCAATTTAAAATAGCTAATAGCAGGCTGACTATTGATTTTCATTCTGCTGCTGACAGCAAAATGTAATCACAGAATTTAATTAGCAATTAAATACATTTAGTTTCTAACAAAATGTTTTAGTCTCCCCATTTTTATCAAGCAACAGCAAACAAAAAATCAAGGACATATTATATCAATTTGTTTTGCCGGTTGCTTGAGAGTGCTGGTTGCTTGAAGGCCGGATAATGGGGAGTTTACTGTATTTAGTAAATGTAATGCTACAGAAAGCTGTCAGAGACTGGAAACCTGCAACATGAAATTATAAGAGACCACAGGCATGCTATAAAGATGGTCAGAGACTGTGGCCATGCTACGGGAGGTGGTCAATCATGACTTCAATAATGATAAAGAAGCCGTTGGAGACTGGGGACATGCAGCAGGAAATGATAAGAGACCACAGGCATGCTATAAAGATGGTCAGAGACCGTGGACATACTATGGAAGGTAGTCAATCATGACTTCAATCATGATATAGAAGGTGTTAGAGACTGGGGACATGCAACAGGAAATGATAAGAGACTACAGGCAATGCTTCTACATTTGTGCTCCTTATGACCCCTTAACAATTGCGCAACATATGATATTTTTCTCAGCAAGATTCATCATAAAAGAGGAAAAATAAATATACAGCACGGACATCACAGAAAAAAAAGATAATGTGAAAGAAATAAGCCAAACCATTTAACTACTAGAAGCCATTCTAAGGGATATTTTCCTTCACTGGCTTGAGTAGGCACAAAAACCCCTTAGGGCCACACAATAAGGATACCATGCGGCCTCCTGGGATTGGGCATCACTGCTATACAGCCTGATTCTTTCTCATGTCATGTGAGAAAAAGTCGCAGTCTGTAATCGGTTAGTTTTGTTTTTACAATTACCCTGCGCATGGAATTCAGTCTTTAAGCTGTTTGTAAATTGTACAGCCACAAAAAATATAACAATGCATTTCCAAATCTCCTACATATAATAGCCCTATATTCTACCAAAGCCAAACAACTACCAAAATAATATGGTTATTTGAGGGTTGTTGAGTGAGAACATTAATGACTATTACAAAGTACATCTACAAACATTGAACTCTTACCTTAACGTGAGAGCCAGGTAAACATTGTTGAGTAGACTCATCAGTACCTGAAATGCTGAAGTCTAATAAGGTGTGTACTTAGTTCCCTTTTTTTTTTCGAGTATAAGAACAGGTTCTGATCATTAGATAAAAGTAAAGTCCAAACAGTGTTATCCTAAATTCTGTAGGCACAGCTTCCTATGAAAGGCGAATTATCCACAAAGCAAGAAACGATCAATCTGTATCCCGGGATTCTCTAATATTGTCTGATCTTTTTCCTCTGGACAGAGACTCCCATTCATACCAGGAAGTCAGCGGGCTGCTGATACATACAGGTGACTCCTCCTGCCAGAGGTGGAGTGACATTAGTTACAGCTACCTGTCTCGTCTTGATCTGCAATACAACCATGTCACTGAATAGGAATCTTCAGAATGAGATTAAGTCTTGCCGTACAGGTTTTGATATTATAATAATTGCCATTGATGACTATATTTAGAGTAACAGTTTAATAATCCAGTGATGAAAAAATAAATATTGCACAGGTAAATGAATAGAGTGGCTTATCTGTTCATAGATTATACATTTGTCCAGGTGATCAAGTAGGTGTATGACTCCTTCCTGTCCTGCAGAGGGAATGAGTGGGTTGATTCTGCTCCAATTTAGATAGGCAATAATTAATATACATCAAGGTTCTACACACCTAACATGATACTAATGTATCAGCTATCTATTAAAGTGGCACTAAACTCAGGAGTTAAATCTTAAAAATACATTCCAAGTACCTTAAAGTGATATTACAGCCTCCTTTTTAAAAAATATTTCCTACAAGGAGACCCACCTTTGATTTAGGCTGTTGCCATTTTTCTTTAAAAGTTTGTAATTCCTCGTTTTCTAGTGGGTCCCCGCAGCAATCTTCCCCCCACCAACTGCACAGGTGCCTCCATCGGCTAATGGAGGCACCCGTGTGCGCTCGTGCCCGCAGTGGCTGTGTGCGTCCATAGACACACACAGCCCTGTGGCAGACCATGCCCCTCCTCTCCACCCAACAATTTGATTGATGGCAGAAGGAGCCTATGGCTCCTTTGTCATCAGTATCGTCCCCGCAACCAGGAAGATCGTGAAACGGAGGATTGCTTCGGGACCAGCGGCGGAGATGAGCGTAGCTGACAGGTGGGTGGGGGCGGTGAAAAAAGGTACTGGGCTGTCTTTACCTTAATGCAGGGAATGCATTAAGGTAAAAAAATGCCCAGACCTTAATACTACTTTAACGATTAACAAAAATTTATCTTATTTATGTATCACTCAGCTGTAGATCCTCAAATCATCTCTGAATTGGTGCAGACACAGTCCTTCCTTCTGGAGGGGGGCTACTTTTGTTCCCCATGGTCTCTGTGTGTTGTAAAGTAGCCACCGCTCCAAGCTCGCTCCCGTGATGGACTACAATCTCAATGCACACTAGTAAAGTAAATGTGAGATTGTAGTCTATTATGGTAGACAGCTTGGAGCGGTGACTACTTCAGAACACACACAGAGACCATGGGGAACAAAAGTAGCCACCCTCCAGAAGGAAGGACAGTGTCAGCACCAATTAAGAGATGATTTGAGGATCTACAGCCGAGTGATACACAAATAAGATACATTTCTGTTAATTGGTAAGGTACTTGATTGTATTTTTAAGTTTTAACTCCTGAGTTTAGTGTCACTTTAAACAGACCTACAAAAGATAACCAATAAGAAAAAAGAAACAGTCTCAGAAAATAAATGCCAGAAAATAAAATATACGATTCTGACCTCTCTATTGAAGGGGAACTTTACCTATATCTTCAAAATAACAACAAACACACCTTTAGAAATGTTTACTAATGACAATCTACAAACACATACTTCTAAATAATTGCTGTTTTTTAATTTTTTGTATACCTTATTTTTCTTTTCTTCCCCAGTCTTCTGACAGTGGCCATTTTAACTAAGGGCAAATGAATCAATCTCCCTTTACGTCCTTGAACTCTGGCCCATGTGACAAGGACATGTGATTAGGACATGTGACCATGCACATCATCCCAGAGGTGGAAAATACCTTTCCCTGAGATCTCATGTAAACATGCACAGCGCTTTACAATATAAGGAAGACATTACAATTACAATACAATTCAAGACAAGATGGTAAGGATGGCCCTGCCCCTGGGGGCCTACAATCTAAATGTGTTTTATCTAGATCTATTATTGACAGTTTGGGAGTTTAATACTACTTTGACAGACCAAGAGGATTGATTGAGGATTGATGCCAAAGTTTTTGGCATCAATCCAGCACTGAACTATAAATACCATCTATCTTTATACTAGACTGACTCTTTGACTAGGAAAGGGCAAGAGGATATGTTGAAAGGTTTTAAAGAAAAGCGCTAATCTGAGTAATTTTCTTTTAAAAAACATAAATCAACTTGTCTGGTAAAGGTGTGCACTGGGTGAGGTGAAAGGTTACAGACTCTGCCCATTACAGCTCTTACTGTATAAAATTGTTAATATATGTATCCAGATTAAACTTTGTACTTCTCCTTTTATTGCATAGCTGTTGTAAAAATAAAAAACTGAGCTAGTGGCATAAACTTTATTGTGATGTTGGCTTATCCTTTCCATCCTGCATTCAGTTTACAGCTCAACTCCAAATGAAACTGATACTTTAAGTTAGTTTGGGCATCAACAGATTGATTAAAGTGGACCTTTACCCCCTTTTACTAACCCCCCCCAACCATGTAGCTCTGCGTGTAGATATGAAATCATCTTACATTCATTAGCTTAACAAACACATTTTTATTTTACTTACAATTTCTTTTTTTCTACTTCCTGGTCCACTGTGGCACAAATGATATTCTCGTGCCAAAGTGCTGCATCCTGGGAAGGTTACATCAGCTCCGGCACCTGGAACTGCATGTCCCGGGCATCGGGAGATAGGAATTCCACACCCCTGCTGCCCCTCTACTCCCTGCTGCCCCAAGGCCGGGCTTTGGTTGGCCTTGTGGGGAATCAGGCCCTGAGTGCTTTGCTGGGAAATCTCATCTGTAATCTCATGAGATGTCAGGAAAAGGCATTTTCCTCCCCTGAGATGATGTGCTTGGTCACATATCCTAGTCACTTTTGCCAGAGTTCCGGGCAGTAAAGGGAGATCTAGTAATCTGCCCTTAGTTAAAATGGCCACTGTGAGAAGAATGGGGAGGGAAAGAGAAATAAGATATGCAAAGAATAAAAAGCCGGCAATTATCTAGAAGTATGTGTTTGTAGATTGTTATTACTAAACATTTCTAAAGGTTTCTTTGTTGTTGTTTTGAAGGTATTGGAAAAGTTCCTCTTTAACCTGCTGACTTCATTTTTAAGTCTCCAGTGCTGACATTTCACCTGAAGCATTTTGAGTCTGTCCCCTTTCACGGCGCTTGTCTCCAGCATGTGCTGTCATTCACAATAGCACAAGCTGCAAACTAGTACTCTTGTCTCTCTTCCAGGAATAGCAGGCGGATGATTTGGGCTCATCTTTATGTCCTCCAGGGTAGAAGGAAGAAATGCACAGGGCTGGACGATGACAGAGGTGCACATTTTGAGCAAGCAGGCTCTGTTTGAGAGTACTGACGTAGATGAACGCTGTCACACTGCCCCCTCTCCTCTGTGAGCGCTGTCACTCACAACTAAATATGTATTCATCTCCTTCTTAACAGTGTGGCCAAACAGCGGTGGGGGGAGGAGGATTGCGTTGTCAACTACTGTATGCTAGTTCAGCAACCATTTCACTGATCAGAACGGGACCAAGTGCTACATGCACCTGATCCCTTGCGGATTCAGCAACAATTTTTGGGTTGTGGTGATACCTCTTCTTTAAAAGGCAAGCACATTTTTTAAAGTGCTCTACCCCTGCTCTAAAGTACTCCCCTCCTTCCCCACATGCATACTTATCTGGCCTCTGATGATGGTCATGCTTTTGCAGTAGATCCCAATAGACCTATGCATGAAGACTATTCCTTCATCAGGCCAGGCAGTGCATACTTTTTAGCCTGATGAAGGAACCACGTGTGGTTCAGAAACATTGCACTTTCCTGTGATACCATGTTTATCTGAACATCAGTAAAGACAGAGCGATATAGCAAATTCTGGTGTGCTGGTGACCACCTTTCAGGGCAGCCATCAGAAATTTGGACGCAGGGCTCAGTGACGCGCTGGACGCAGGGCTTAGTGACGCGCTGGACGCAGGGCTTAGTGACGCGCTGGACGCAGGGCTTAGTGACGCGCTGGACGCAGGGCTTAGTGACGCTCTGGACACAGGACCCACCTGAGAGTGACCCTGCAGAGCCCACCATAGATGCTGCACAGCCCATCTGAGACTGTCTATGGTGGGCTCTGAAGGGGTCTCAGGTGGGCTGGTCAGGGCTGCATCCCTGCCCTCCCTCCTTTCCTTCCGTCCTTCCTAGCTCCTCTTACCTGCACACATGTCCTCGTCTGCCGCCGGACCAGCCAGAAGTGACGTCACTTCCGGCCAGTCCGACATCAGACGAGCAACGTCGCTGATGGGGCCCTAGCTTGTCTCAAAGCCGCTGCAGCGGCAATGCTGGGGCCCTGCGCTGCTAGGGCCAGGCCTCCTCGCCCTTCACCGTCGGCCGATAGTCATGTAAGGGACCCGGGCGGGCCCCCCAGGCTGCCCGGGCCCCTTACATGAGTATCGGCCGTACCCCCCCTGATGGCTGCAATGCCACCTTTTATACATTTGGTCTACGTGGCGACATCCACAGGTCACTACAGCACCCACAAGAGTATCTTAAGTTAGGATACTGGTTTGGAGTGTGATGAGAAACCTCACATTTGTTTGTGGTTAGAGCTCAGAGCATTTATGTCACAATTTTGCTAACTGTCAGTAATTTCTAATAATTAACCACAGCGGCTTAGAGATAGGATTAGTAGCGCAGGACAGAGTATATGTCACAGTTCAGCTGCAGACTTGCAGCTGAGCTGTTACTTGTAGTTCTACAAGGATATACATAACTCTTACCCCTGGTTCTGCAGACATGTAGGGCTGTGCTGGTGCTTGTAGTCCTCCAGACATGCGCTCTAAACCTGACTCATACTGGCACCTGTCTGCAGGAGGGGTCGGCGTCGGCCGACCCCTCCTGCTGTTTCTTATGCAGCTTCTCGGCCAATCAGTGCAGTCTGCTTGTAGCCAATCCTGTGGATCGCCTCTCTTCCTGTCTCTATTTAAACTCAGGGCAGCGAATGGCTCGCGGCCTGAGCAACGCTTTCCTAAGCTAGTTGC